TCCGACACAGAATAAAAACGAACGTTTTTATTTATAGAATTTAACTAGGTCCTTAAACTCAAATGCATTTATATCGACATCGAGCATTTTGTTTTCGACGATGCATTCATGCCGATCGAATTATGTGTTTGAAAAAATAAAGAATACCATTAATATATTATTATTTTCGACCGGTGTATTATTAAAAGAAATAATAATGCTTAAGAACGACGTTCCATTGTCATTTGGACAATTACATTCAGATGTATAAGAATGTACTACGTATAGTTAAACGTTTATTTATTTATTTTTTTACTTTTAAGTAACTCGTCCTTAGAAAAAAAAAAAAACACTTTAAGGTAAAATCATTATTATTCTTTAACAGTAATTTCATTTTTCAGAGATATTATTGCGCTCACTGTACCTACCAATAGCAAAGTATTTTATGAACATCGACGTCAATACGGCCGGAGGGGAACTCTTAGAATATTTACGAATTATAATATTATAATAGTAATAGGAAAAATAATAGTGTTCGTACCTATATACCTAGGAAGACAGTAAAATAAAACGCAGACAGGTACGCGGACCGTTTAATGTAAGTATTGTTTTTCAGTTCGAACCGAATCCCAAACGGATTTTTAAACCATTAACTATTGTTTTGCACAACGACTCCAATACATACGCGTACCCACACTGCTGCAGAACACTATATATGCAGCGAGACCATATACAGTTCTTAATTTGAAGCAACGAAACTTGGGTCGTAAAAAACCGAAAACTCGTAAGAGATAATATATTGTGCGGGTAAAAAGTTCTCGTTTGAAATAATATACATATTACATTACGCTCGCGAGTCGCAACGCAATTTCGTTTTAAGCGACTCGCGGGGTTGAACAATGTTCAATGTTTAATGGTACAATAACGCGCGCTTGTACGGGGCCGACAGCAGAAAACGGTAATAATTATTAATATCATTAATTATTGCTGCAAACCCGCGACGAGCGATACGGGACCGTATATTATGTACAATATGTAGTGTTGCAACTGGTGTAGGCGAATTCGGCGTGTTCGCCGCGGCACGTACGGCGGCGAAAATATCCTGCAGTACGCTCGCACCAATAATATAATAAAATATTAAACGTATATCAGTTTTTTATTCGTCTTTAGCGCCTCGGCCCGACGACGCGATATTATATTATTATTTTACCGCTCCGCAGCTGCGGTTCTCCATACCAAGGTTTTCGTCTGGCCCACCCATCCACCCACCCGCCCACCGTCGTAACATCGCTATTATTTTTTATTGTTATTGTCATGACGTATAGCGCGCACATCATCTCTGAGCGGAATTTTTCGACGATTCCGAGTCGACGGGAGAGGTCGGGGGTAACGCACGTGCTCGATATATTATATTATATATTTATACGCACAATATTATATACACTGTACCAACGCCCACACGGGCCCACCCGTAATATTACACGGTACTATATCTATGTATACATAGGAGACATGCAGGCGCGTAAAATAATCGAAACGCATCTTACAATCGAACTACGGCGTTTACCGTCGACCCGAGTCGTTGTAATAATAATATTAATGTATTATTACTATTTCGAGCCAATAACGGACCGTTCGGCGGCGTAAATAATACTGTAAAATTATGCGTGCGAATGTGCGATTAATAATTATTATTATCGTCTCGACGACGGCGCGACGGTGTTATTGTGTAACAATATATACACGCACCGAAGTCTCTTTCGTATTATAATATTACGAGGTGGTGGGCGGCGGTGGCGCATCGGGAACCTGCGGCGTTGATTTTCCCCCTTCGCAAAACAGACAGACAATGATATTCCACAGACAGACACTCGACGGAATCGCGATCACCACCCTAGAACAGCGTTTCTTAAACTGTGTTCCGCGGAGGTCCGAAACTTGTGGTTTTTTATTCAAAATTTTAAATTTTGACACATAATTATAACTTTTATTGCAGATATTCCTTACATAAAATGACGCATTGAGAGTATTGAAACAATGTAGTGGTTCTAATTGTCGAGCTGTAATAATTTGTTGTTAAGAGCTCAATAATCCAAAAAAAGTTGGGGGTCCACGGTGGAAGTGCACATAAAAAAGGGTTCCACGGATATGAAAGTTTAAGAAACGCTGCCCTAGAATATAAAATACGGGGATAACGATATTACGCCTCGCGGTATTACCCATAATATAAGCCTAAGCACATTACGTAAATACGATTAAAATATTATAATACGACCGATCTGCGTGCGTTACAACGATCGTTAATTGGGCGACAATAATATATAACACGATCTCATATTATTGTGTTTGTGTCGAGCACAATATTGTATAATAATTGTGACGCACCGAATGTGCAATACCCGTGCAGGCGCTTTCATCCTCAAGGTGCAACACTTAACCACCCCCTTTTATTTTTTTCCACTAGCCCTTTTGACTTTTTAACCGTTTTGACGGGTCAGCATACCATAACGTAATAATGATATGATTTCGGGCGTCTGACGTTTGGTGCAGTTGAGTTACGTAAAAAGATACATTTTTTACGCGACTGTCCCTCTGGTAAATATGGGTCGGAGGGATGATGATTATTGCGTCGTGCCCCCCCCCCTTCACCGTCGACCGTGGAAAAACCGCGTCGTCACAGAAACCGGTTTCTCTGGTTATTCAAACGACGCACTTCTGGTGCATTGGCATGCACACTTCTCACCAGACGACAACAAGTGCGCTTTTTATTAATTGACCCAGGTCGACTCCCCCCATCCACCCCCCGTCGTACACGCAGTGGATTTGTCTGCGCATAATTCACACTACAATAACAACAACAACAATAATGGCCAACACACGCGTGGTGATCATGTGGGTCAGTATATCTGATAATTTTCAATTTTTTACCGTCTTGATCTTCAATCGGGCATAATAGTGCGGTGGGTAATTGGAATAAAAAAAAATCTAAACTTTGATATTGACCCAGTAAATAGTAAAATAACTCACGGATAAGCGCAGTAAAGGTTCAAAGGCAGTTCAAAGGCAACAATGTATAAAAAAAAAATGAAGAGTGCCAAAAAAATACGATCTGAGTTCCATAATAATAGTAAAAATTAAGTATTTAAAATAGGGTTAATATGTAGGAGACGGACCACTAACATTTTGTGTAATATTTTGTAGAAAAAAAAACCGTATCGGTTCAGAAAATGTTTATTCCGACCACTGTCTTACGTACAATTTGGTTTGATCACACCGTAAAATGCATTCGTATACAGTTGATAGTTTTTCAAAAAATAAAAACCAAGAAAGTGTTCTTGCGGACCTCGACTGGGTAATCGTTTTTTCAATGGCAAAAGACAATTTTTTTCGACCTAGGTACATAGGTATAGTATAATATATCTAAACGCCAATTCTCTAGTTAAAAGAATGCAGTTTTATGACACTGTCCATTTTAACCAAATGTTTACATAAGAAATAAATAATATTACAACTAGGTACATACTAAACATAATATACTAATATACCGTAAAATATCAGTTGTACCTTTTTCTTACTAGTTAACGTCTATTCGTGTGAAAAAATTCAAAAAAATACAGACACTTAAGTTAAATAAAATTTAAAAATTTAAAACAAATTAGGTATACCGATGTTGGACAGATCTGACTTATCACAAGTTACCTATTCGCTTTTCTTCGGAGAACATTTTCAAGTGATTTTTCGTTTTTATTTTTCAACTAAGCTGACTAGAGAATATTCATCAAAGCAACATATTGCGACGTTCTTTCTGTTTGAACTTTTTACCATCGATCTGAACATTTTCAAATAGCCATTATTATGTCACTTCAATAACTTTTACCTCACATAACGAAAGCACAAGGTACTCTCAAATAAATCACAAAATATAAAATATGTACCAAAAAATATGGCTTGCCATTAAAAATATTGAAACGCCTCAGCTACAAGTGTACAACTGCATTAAATTGTATTCGTCAAAAACATGAAATGGTGAATTATATTATAATATTATATAAATAATATAAAATGTGTACTATGGTATTCAGTACTTACTTGTATTTATTCAAAATCGATGAAAAATAATTTAATACGAGATTAATTTTCAAACATCAATGAACTTGTGAAGCGCATGACAATTGGGGGCAGGGGGGTAAATATTACGAAAACACTTTTTATTTATTATTTGAATTTTAATTAAAGTTTATTTACAACAGTACTTGGTAGGTATGGTCTGAACAAACATCGTACCTATATAATTAAAAGTTAATTTTTATCATTCGGAACCAAATATTCATTGCAGAAAACACATTTCATTTTAACGCATTGGCAGTTTCCACGCTGCATAATACATTTTGTAAATATTGCTCGTAAAAATGAAATATCCGCATGAAATAAAAATACAATTACGAAACTTAACATATTTTCGAACACCATAAAATTAATGTTTACATGGCCCGTCTAGTCACTGTTTTAATTAAAATTTATTTAAAAACCAAACAACGAAGTTAGGTTTAAATGTGTTAATTATGAATGAGTTTCGCATGAAATAAAAAATATTATCAATTAAATACAAACAAAATAATAAAGATGAATCATTTTCAAAAATATGTGTGCTAATCATTTGAAAGATATGAATTTATAATTAAATCAGTTTATTATTTTTATCATACGATTATAGTTCAAGTTAAAAATACGTAAGCCTATCTACATACTTGATCAATTTTAAAGATGTTTTCTCAGCGGAAGATCTTTAGAATGTATACATATACTATCTACGTACACGAATAGTTTCAACAAAGTACTTGGCGTTTTTAATCATCATAATAAACAAAAGTAGGTACCTATACCAACTACTAATACAATAACTAGCAATTAAACTATATTGTATACTTTGTATTGTATCTATATGTTTTTCATTAAAAATGCATGTTATTAATAATAAGAAAAGAGCAATAGGACATTTCTAGCAATCAAAATAATTTCAATTAACACGAATCACTGTATACTCATGGACAAATAATTATATAAACTAATCAATATAAAAGTAAAAATAATAAAAAAAAAAAGCAAATAATCCTAGTCATATATTATAATTATGATGGTTTGAGGCGTATAGTTGAAGCCGCATTTTTCACTTCACCGCCGCCACTGTAAAATGCTAAAAAAATAATAATTACGATTGATTCAATTTGTGTACATTTTTATTTTAAAAAATAACTCTTACACGTAACTGTTAACTGAATATGAAGCTAAAATTAAAATCGGAAACGACGTGTTGACTTGTTGATCTCCGAATTATATCGCATGATGCCCGGTTGACTGTCATGAAACAATACATACATAATACTATTTCGCACATCAATTGATTACGAGTGCTTGGGACATGAGTTACTATAATGACACTATTATTCACAGAAACGGAAAACTACACATCCTATCGGGTATTTACCGGCCGGTGCCAAGTGGATGTTGTATATGGAATGTCGTACGAAATAAGATCGGATAATACAATAATACTGTATTGGAGAAGTATGCCGAAGACAAGTCGGGGTGTTCAAAATATTTGCATTTGTGTGCGAAATAAAATAAACCATTGAAACGGTATCACGGTAACAACGGACACTACGGTCGTAGTATAATAATGATATGGTGACTGACGTCGGTCATAAAGAGCCCGGTATCAGGTATCGTGTGTATGTACCGCAGCAGTCTGTAGCCATAAGCCGCACTATGAAACATATAACGACTCTAACCGTGTAAATCCACAGAGATAAGCTGCAGTAAGCTCAACTCTAGGTATTAAATATTAATTCAAATTTTTTTTCGTCAGGAGTACACACTTGAACGATTTAAAAATAAAACCATAAATGTCGTCATACCGAAAGTGAACACACAATGTGCAATGATACAGCTCAGTAAATGTAAATACGTATAGGCACCTGCTTGCTATTATTTGTATTGTTACTAATAATTAGTAAATAATAATGACATTGTATCAATAATTATATAGTCGAGGTATTCCATACGACAGTGCATTACCAACGAGTTTTTTTTATTTATATATTAACCATTATTTACTACCATACTTACTGTAGTAAGTTATTGTATTGTTTATTATTATTTTTATATTAATATACAAAGGCGTGCATAGTCATCTTAATTACATTTACCGATATCTCCATTCCAAAGGGTTCACTCAATTAAAAACAAACAACAATCGCCATCGGAGTAAAACAAAAAAATTGCGTCGGACCTTATGTATACACGGAATACGACGTATGGGTATTTACGAACTATTACTGAATACTTATATATTCTATAATGTATATCGTACGACGAATTAAATTAGGTAGTGAACCTCACGACGTTATGGCCGTCGTCCAGTGTCAATGTGGCATTGGCGAAATACGAACAAACAGAATATCTGTTTTCGTGTACAAAAAAAAAACACAGTTGTTTCATAATAAGTGTGTTACGCTTTTTTTTTTTTTGTATAATTTTTACTTGTATTATTTTCATTGAAAAAATCAAAACATACCTGCTACAACTATATTACGGTAATGTCGACTGCAGACTGCAGAGAGTGACTACTTTTTTTCATACAGGTAACGATCTTAATATACAGCGAGCGTGTTATGGTAATAATTGGTTTCGGTCCTCACGCTCATAATAATAATAAGCTGCCTAATAACCATTTTTGTCATTCAAATTTCACGGCTCGCGAGTGTTTGGAAGGCGACTGAAAAACATCGAACGAATCTCGAAAACCGGCGTTTAACATTTTATCGGACACGACGACGCCCGCCGTACCGAAGTTATTTGCAAAATATTACGTCGTTCGCATTGCATAATACTATAATACGCATAGTGCAATGGCTGTTTAAAACAAGCGCATATGTTGTCCTCTGTCAATCAAACGTAAACACAATGCAATAGGCGTTTACGGACGCGAATAATGAATACAAACTAATCGATCGTCGATATATGCGGGCACACGGATAGAGGTATGCAACTGCGGAAAATCGCGTGCATTTTTCCTGCATGCGGTAAGACAAAGCACAATATATAGGTACCTGCACATACATTGATATCGATATTGATCGATGGATATCGCTAAAAGTATGATTATACCCACCGCTTCGAGATTAATGGCGACATTGCGCGCCGCCGTTATAAAACACGATATCGCAACGATAATTTATTCGAGCTGGAAACCTTCGAGTAGGCACTCACCGCTCACCCCGTAAAAATGCAACAAACATGTTAATCATAATATAATTGCAACATGGTATTCTTCTGTATTCTATTGTAATATAATATGTAATATGCTCGCCGCCTCGGCATGATAATATTAATTATTAACATTAATCGGTCGTGCGATAAAATATCGCTCGGCAACGCATCGTCACGAGTATTATGCAGAACACTACAATATGAACCCCATTGAAGATGAAGTGTGCATATTTCATTCCTTATCTACAAAATATAAGCTTTTTTATTTTATTGCCACCGCGGATATCTATGTGCACCGTGCGGCGCAGAGAGTAAGCAAATGATAATAAGTATTTGATGTACAATAAATTGGTACTTTACTCCGTCGCGAATACCCATAATATACAGCTTAATAAATTCAAAGTAAACCCTAAAATCCTCAGTTTAGTGCTATTTCATAAAAATATCTAATACCTAATCTATTTGTATACCTACTGTGTTATATTGCCATATTTTATTGGGGGCATTTGCGGTTATACGTCCTAAGAAGTTATCCACCGCAGATATTATTTTAATCAGCTAAGGTGACGTTCAGCTTTGCGGTCGACACAATATTGTGCAAACTATTTTTCTTGATTTAATAAGGTGTATTTTAATAGTGTAACAAATTAAAAAAAAAAAAAATAATCAACCATAAATTAATTTAAGAAACCGTGTACAATTTAATAACGTGAAATATAATTATGAGTAGTAAGAATTCGAGCTTTATCGACGGCCACTTAAAAAATATTTGCATAACTCATTTTAATCTTGTTTCACAATACGTCCACAATCATCGCACATACATATCATTAGGAAAAAAAATTTTTAATCTTGTTTCACAATTATTTTACAATGATGAATTTTTTTTTCCGTGACCGTTATTTCGAGTTGTATCCAATTAGTGTTTCACATATTGTTTCAAGTAGGTTTGCAATCGAGTCCAGTCGATATTTTAAATGGACAGTGTTTTCGACTGTTTCTTCCGAGTACAGCCAAAACAACTCTAGTGTAATACGCATTGTTGGTGTAATATAGCCAACTCGCATATCTGCCTTAGAATATTTATTTTTAAATATTATAAATCGGAATATTATATTACAGGGGATAGGTATACTATTTGAAATCCTCAGGGGCGATGTACACCCATTACGTCGTTTTAGTGGAACCAATCATTATAAATAACATTATCTGCTGTGTCACATAATAATAATATTATGTAAGTGCGGACTTGTGTAAGATACACCGCACCTGATCCACCATTAATCTAGATAAACATGTTGGAATAATTGTTTTGTCTGAACACATTATTTAGAGATAATAAGTACTCTTCTATTTAAACAGCTATACATACATGGCGTGTTTAGGATTAACTAATAGGAGATTTAAGCTACGTTTGAGAACACACTGGTGTATACAACTATTGATTATTCTTAAAAATAAGACGTATAATATTAATATTATATTCATCGTCCGCATAAAGTTTACCAAGAATAGACATATCTATAAGTGGTTGTATAACACGAGTACCTATCGAGTATTACTAGATGTATTACTACGTACTTACATTTTTTTTTATACTTATAAAAGTAATTTACATATTGATTAAATGTATGGTGTCGGGGAAACAAGAGGACCAATTCCCCTTGGGGTGACATTTTTAATGCACGTCTACTTATGATATAGACGAAAGACGGGTAATCACAAGACAAGTCACTTGTGCTGGATTCGAGGTCAATCGAACAAGCACACATTTTGTTTTTTATTCATACGAGTACGCATGTAAGTAAAAGGTTAGAAGAACAACCCTAAATAAAAATTTAAAAAATACATCATAGAAACTAATTATAACCAAAATGACTGGACCTTTATGTGCAATCGCACGTTTTTGTACTAAATGGTTTCAGTAAGCTAGTTAAGTAGAGTAAACTAGTTACAATTATTATTAATATGAATCAAATTTGTCATGAAAAAAGATCGTACCAAAGCATGAGAAATGTCTGTTAAAGAGTATCTTATTTAATGATCTTTGCAGGGTTTATTTCAATATTATTATGTACATTTTAATTTAAAAAATACCACGCTACGTATTTAACGTAATTTAAGAAATTATTATTATTTTTTTTTTTTGTTATGGATTAACCCTTATTTGGCTATACACATTTTAATGTCAATAATTACTTTAATACTTTATTATAACGTAATAGAATACATTTAATATATTTATATTTTAAAATAATAGATAAAATACAATATGGTATCTCGATTAATATTTTAGAGTATAAATCAATAAATAACTGGTAAAACGAATAAGATAAATTAAATAAATATACTTCCTACTTAATGCAATTTGTACTGGTGTTAAATTAATATATACCTGGGTGACTTAACAAATCCCCGATATTGCTACGTAAAATTAAATTTTAACCATGTTCGGTGGTAATGCGTTATAACGTATATAAGCTACTTAAAATATATAAAACGTATTAACTTTAATAATATATTATAATTTATGAATATTCAATGTAATCAACACACAAAAGCGCCTCAAACGTAAATTTGATTTATAAATTATATATTTTATGTATTTATTCAAATGGAAAATTCAAAAATGGAAATTTTATTCTTCATTTGAATCATCACGTTTGCATGTTTTTATTAATCAACTGTAAACAGTGCGGTAGAATGAATAACAAATTAAATTTGAAACACCAAAAAAAAAAAAAATCATAATTATAACAGATACAATAATCATTATGTTAATTTTTTTTTTCACTCCATATGATATAATAATTTGTTACTTCATAATATCGTTATAGGTACATACTAAATTATTAGATTTTTCATTACGTTTAAGCTTGAATTAATAAGCAATACATTCCATGTCGTCATATTTAGGTACACCCACGATGGGCATATATAAATATTATATTATAAACGTGATATGTCTATGGGTACACCTATTATACTCACACGATTTACTAAAAATGAATAAACAAAGACACATTACCAAAGATACTGCAATAGGGCGGTTTCCGCGGAATAATTCGATAAATTAAAAATGCATTAGACATTTCTCGCGTACCTATATATAGGTAATATATCGTCTAATTACGCATATACCTTTGTATGCGGAGCTTACCGTGTTTGCTTACAACTACAATCATCGGATGGCAAATATTATCATTATTACATTATTATTTTATGCAGTTGCTGTACACACACACACACACACACACACACACACACACACACACACACGCCCATACGCGCACGCCCAACCAATATGATTAGGTTTGGCACAGCCATCCCGGTTGTCCCACCACGTCTCAATCGCAATATTTACCGAATAAATGTCAATAAAATAAGATCAGTCGTGTGGAAGTGTTCCGTCGTGATTGTCGAACGAATTTAGCGCTTTGCTACACTATAAACGTACCCACCCGCCCACCACGACCACCCCTGCTGCCACCAACACCGCCAACATCGGCACACAGCCACCACCCGACCGACTGCGTAATCTTATCATTTTCCTTTTTCTTTTATTCAAATACAAAGCGCGAACGGACGAAAGATTAGGTGCCCCCCCCCCCCCGAAACAACCCTTCCGTGCAACGGAACCGACGTTAATATACGATGGCCGCCGTCCTTTGACGAACGATTTCGGTAATTTCCAGAAAAATCTATGAAAACAACCCCGAGCAGAGTGCACGGTCAAAAGCAATTTCGTTTCGCCCCAATGTCGGGTTCTCCGTAAATACCTACGGAGCCAAAAATACGACAATATTATA